GAATTTGATCAGGTGGTTGCTGTGATATCTTCGCTCAAAGTTTTGGCCAAAATTTGGTGCAGCTTCTACTTTTGATTGATGTGTTGATATTTTAATAAACTTTGAGTGAAGATATCTCAGCAACCACCTGATTCAAATTCGTTGAATTTTTTTTTATATAAATTCTATAGATTCATAAAACTTAAATTTAAAAAAATTCATCAAATTTGTTCTGATGGTTACTGAGAAATCGCAAAATCAATTGCAATTGGACAATCAAGAATGCAGCAGATCAAAAGTCACATCAATTTGCAAACCGCGATGATCATAATCATTTGGATAACGCTAAGAGAAAACCAGGAATTCTAAAAATAGGTTTATATTCACAGCGAAGTTGCGGGTTTTTAATCAATTCAATGATGATAAAGTTTAATTGAGTATTATCATTATCGAATCGATTAAAAACCCACAACTTCGCTGTGGATAGAAATCTATTTTTAGAATTCATGATTTTCTCTTTGTGTCACCCATTGGATCAATTTATTTATCAATTTTATTAATAAAGTAGGAGGGGATAGTGAACAAATAATGAAGAGGTAATAGAAGGTTGAACACACAGAACAATTAACAAAATAATCTAGATCATTTTAATGATATACTTTCTTTAATATTTACCAGTAATTAGGTCGTAATTTCAACAATGAGTGCATTTGTTGTACTTCAGATCAATGCTTGCACCAGATATCACTTCGGCCTAACTTAGTATAAGTGAATAGTTTAGACCAATCTGTTAATTCTAATTAATCAATCATTGTATTGTTGATATTAGAGGCACAATATATTTATGTTTTCAATAATAAGCAGATTCATGATTTTAACATTGGGTGAATGAATAATCTCAATAATTAGTAGGTTTATAGTATTAATTATAGGTGAGTTCGTGTTTTTGATGAGATCTTTAATATAGTTATGATTCATTATGATTTATTACTCATATTACTCTTACATGTATACAAAATTTTAATGCATCTTACATTCACTTAATGGTACCAAAAGCAAACTTCAGATTTACTGATATTCAATATTGCACGATTTTTAATATTTGTGAATTTCAGTTAAGCCAGTGAGTATAAAATCTATAAACTATTAAATTACTTAAAATACGTTATTAACCTTAAATTTTTGAATAAGATGGGTGGCGCGAAGCGCCACCCATCGTAACTAGTAATAAATATAATCGCAATTATATTATTTATAATCATGTGACCAGTATGCCATTAGTATTTTAAACCCGATAACCTCTCAAAACAGATACAAAAGCTGTCCACCATGCATATCGGGTATACTGTATAAAAGACATATGCTATATAAGATAATTATTCTACAAATAATTTTAACATTATAAGCGCCGACGCATTCAATATTATTAAAGCTTCATTTGAATATTTGTCCAACATGTTTAGTGTGTTTAGTTTGTGCGAAAACGTATATATATATATATATATATATATCAAATTACAATGTAATCTATATGTATGTAAAGTAATTTACATACGTACGTACCCGATCATGCCGAAATCAATAACTTAACCGAATGACCGAAAAATCACACGGTCAATTTTTATTAGGTGTTCCAGAAATTATGAAAATCAAGACCAAATGAAGAAATACCACTCGGAAATACAATATTAAAAAAAAAAAAAAGAGTTCTGGAAAATTCTTAAGACAATTTATATATACACTACAAGCAATCGACTTGGGTATACAGGTATGGTTAGTTAAGACAATTTTTAAGTATTATCTAAATCGAACAGATAAATTTAAGATTATTACAGCCATTACTAAAATGTCTTATTTTTATTATGCTGCTTACTATATCTGATTAGTAGATATTTAAAACTGGCCATATGATTTGTGCTAGTTATAATTAAAAATTAACTAATAGATAAAAAATTTAAATATTTATTGAAACTATAATTCTGGCAAATTTTTAAGAAATATTTAAATTATTTCTTTAAAGCAAATCTGTATTAAAATAAAATACGATGAACACAAAAATAAATTTTTTTATAAATCATGAAAAAAAGAAAAATAGTAACAATTAAATACTCAAGTAAGTGGTCTATTTTTTAAATTCTCTCAATTTATAGTTTTAATACATGTAAATCTTACTTTACTACAAATAACTAACATAAATTTATAAAAAATTAAAATCTACACTCACTGCCACTGCCATCATTACAACGAATAATACCACCTTCATCATCAGATGCGCTTAGCGATATGGTTTCTGTTGAACAAGTATTATCGAGGTCATGGTACGTATGACAATGAAGCTCATGAAAAGCCCATTGAAAACAATTCGTATCCGCTATACATGCTTTACAGCAATCTTGCGGGGTAGTGCTATTTGTAGTTATACTAGCTACAGCACCAGGTAAATGATTCTTGTCATTCCACCCTGGACTACCACGTGATTGACAACATGACGGTGTCGGTGTTGGTGTTGGTGTTGATGATGAGCATTTAGGTTTTATAGGTCTATGCTTATTAGCATGTTTATTAGCATTAACAGTAATAGTTAATACAAGTAAAATCGATAAAAGAACAAATAAAAAAGAGTTAAAAGTTTGACGATTCATATTGATTAAATTATGTTAAAAATTTGCTAAAATTTGGAAGTGTTTAAGACAGATAATTTTTTGGGCGCTTTACGTTTATATAAAAAAAATTCGAATAATTGGAATCTATTACATGAATACGTGTTACTTCGAGCATGCCTATGTGTTATTTTGAGATAAGGGATATTTCTAGATCCAAAATAAATTATCGTGAAATTATCGTAAAATTACACGGTTATCTTTTCATGCTTATAGTTCAGTCATTAAAACCTGCAGAGCGTGCTATTTGTTTTATTAAATTTATGACTCAAGAACCAATAAATTTTACAATAATTTATACCTTAATATTTTGTTATTCATTTACAAATTTATTGCAGTTGTTGTGTATGTACGTAATTAAATTTATGATTCAAGAACCAATAAATTTTACAAGAATTTATACCTTAATATTTTGTTATTCATTTACAAATTTATTGCAGTTGTTGTATATGTACGTATAATATCGACGGTTCCTCCTGTTAATATTTGATATTATGTACATTCCTTGTAAATAGTACATTTTCTTCTTTGATTCTCTTATTTCACAGTATTTAATTGAGCTTATAAATATAAGTATATAAATGTGTCGTTTTCTGATAACGGTTTTTCGTACATCTAAAATACTAACTCCGCATAATTTATGCTGCACCAAAGCTAATTTGTAGCTAATTTGTAGCACACAAATATCGCTTTCCCAATTTTTGGGATCGTCTAAAGCCAGATAGTAATTTATATGCATTGCGTGACCTTTACTTTACAAATTTATAATTAATCAACTTGAAAACTACCTGTCTTTAAACGATTCCCAATTTTGGGCGTAACCCTAATAAATGTAATGCATGCGTACTAATTTACTTTATATGCCCTAATAAATGTAATGCGTGCGTACTACATACAGTACATTAGATATGTAATAGCTAGTGGGTGGGTGAAATCGCTGAATAATTATCCGTTTTTATTCACTGAGTTATATTCACTGAGTTATATTCGATCAATCATCGAGCATCGGTCAAAATTAAAATTTGACGTGTTTTGGTAATAATGATAAATTTATTGATTTAATTAAATCTTTCAAATGATATTAATTAAAGACTGAATTTGGTTTAATATTTAATTTGATCATAATAACAATAAAGATTGCAAAAAACCCAAATATGACGGTCTTTACACAACCAATTTTGAAAGAAACTAGCACGAAAACTTTGTGCTTTCAGCAACAGTAATCAAATGAACAATTTTTTTCAGATTGAAGATAATATAATGAGTGCAAAGAGAACATTATTAAATATAAATTATTTTTCAAAGTAATATTTTTAAAAAATATGAAGGCAATTGATTTTATTCTTCCTGACGTTTAATGTAGAGATTGTAACCGTCAAGAAAATTTCTACCCGGGTATTATTAAATTACCCAGTTATCCGGGTATTATTGAATTACCCGGTTATCCGGGTAATACCAGGAACGGAGTGATATACCAGGAACGTAGTGGAACGAAGTGGATGGTTCAATTCGAGTTTTGCGTTCGTACACAAAATCTTAATTCCGATTGGATGTAGTGATCATATGATAAAATTTTATATCTGATCTTTTTTTGGAAGTTCGGTTAACTTACATATCGCATAAATTGTATTTTTGATATTTATAAATAAATCTTCATACTAACTGATCAAAAAGTAACTCTAAACCGACCCTATCGATTAAAATTTGGTCCACCATGTCGGTTCCATAAGTGATATCCGATAACTTGTCATTTCTGATATCCGATAGGTAATTTAGTTAAGTTTCTGATATGGTTGATTATAGTAGCATGAGTGCATCTATTTGCGCAATAGATCACATAATGTTCATTGATGTTCTAAGCATATTCAACCAATCAGAATTAATCACTGGCCAACATACACATAACCAATTTTTGCAATCTTTTTAAAAACTTAGAATGAAGTTTTCT